GTGTGTGTGTGTGTGTGTGTGTGTGTGTGTGTGTGTGTGTGTGTGTGTGTGTGTAGTCCACTTGTACTAATCTTGCATGTTGTGTGGATATAAACCATCAACGTATACGTGTCAATGATATAAACCCTGTTAACTAAGTCACATTATGAGGGCTCACCTCCTATTTGTGACAAAAAGCAGGTCCCTACAGGGTTACATATTACATTTAGGATTAAGGTTAGGCTAGGTGTAGGTGGATTTGGGGAGTGATTACATGTAAATTTGTTACATGTGGGATACAAAAAAAAAGGTTACAGAAAAAAGTAATCAGATTATATAGTAAAAATGGGGATTATTAGCAGGATTACATTTTAGAATAAAGAACGATATACTGTGCACACATTAACATTTAAGAGTCACCACCTAAACAACACCACTCTAAACTCTAGCTAATCCTACAGTTGCCAATTCATTATCAGGCCTCTAGTGAAAAATATTTTTTTCTACAGTAGCACATTACAAACAAACCAAACACTGGGTCTAGATGGGCCCCTTTTCCTATTTTCACAAGCTTTGTGGCCACTTTAGTTTCTCCTACGTGTTTGGAAGGCGAGTGTTATTCAGTTGGTTGCAATCTGCAACTTCACTAGATGCCACTAAATCCTACACACTGGTCCTTTGATTAGGGTGTAAGTACACATCTCAATTCTGCTCCCTCGCTGTATTTAAAAAACAGTCTACATCAGAGCACTGCAAAGAACGGCCACTAGGGGGAATGGCGACACTGCACATTCTTTTCCCCCAGAATGAAGGATCATTTCCCTTTTAAACTTTGGGTTTTGAATTAAAAATCCCTCCTTAATATTTCAATATTTTTGACATTGTCACTAGAAGCATATTCATGGCCATTTGAAAAAGTTGTGGTTTGTTACCTTTGTTGAAGCTAAGCTATCAGCTCAGAGAGGCTAATATTCTGGTATGTGTTTGTGTCTGGGGGAGGGCTGATCATTCCAAATCATTGCGCCAAAATACGAAGTAGAGAAGCTGCGGAAGGTGGGCTGCCGTCCTCTGATTAAAGAGAGCTCTTTTTTAATATAAATGTCATGACCTAGCAGTAGTCCCAAATGGTCGACTCTATGACTGTGTTCAGACTGCAGGCCAAAGTGACCCAAATCAGATTGTGATGTGTGATTCAAATCAGATTTTTTTATGGGATGTGAACAGCACATATGACATAGAAGCTGATCTTTTCAGTTCTGATTCGGGCCACTTTCACATGTGGTCCAAATCAGATACTGTCAGATTTTTTTGCAATGTGAACCATCATATCAGAATTCATATAACTTTTATGTCACTCTAGACTGACATTTTTCATGCGGGTCACTTCAGGACTGTGACCTGTTCACACTGAAATCTGATATGGGCCACGTTTAAAAAGCCAGAAAACAAAATCTGATCTGAGTCATAAATCAGAATTGAGCAATAAGGCTTGCAGTGTGAACTATTTCAACAAAGGCCTGGCAAGGTTCAGGGTGATTTAATAAAACAGTAGCTAGATGGCGTGATGAGCCGTTTCAAAGCCATGAAATACTGATTTTCATAAATTAGATGAGAATGTCAATATGAACACCAGCATTGATGTGTTTCATCACACATTTTTAGCCTAAAAATGGTATTCCTACTGATGTTCTGGTCCGGGATGTCTGTCTGCTCAACGTCCTGGTTGCTGTGTCAACAAAAGGACCATGTCAGTTTCTGCATAAAATTTGCGTATGCTTCATTACATTATTTTACATTATTGCTTATCTGTTTCCCAAATCATATCTTACTTTTTTCAGTTGATGAATGCATTTTCCATCTTTTCATTTTATTTATTTATTTTTCATATTTTTCATTGCTAGTGACAGCTGAAGAGTCACAGGAAAGTCGGGTAAGGAGAGAGAGGGGATGACGCAGAAAAGGGCCACAGGTTGTGCTGCAGCAAGGACTCAGCCCTGTTACATGGGGCCAGCTCTACCACGTGAGCAATGCGGGCGCCCTCACCTTTCCATCTACGTTTTGGGAAAGATATTTTGATACAAATAAAAAAATAAATAAAACTGGGAGACAGAAAGAAAAAATAATAATAATGGGGACATTGCTTAAATGTACTCATATATACTCATATATAGCCAATGTTTATTCTTACCTATAACTCATATAGTAGCTTAATGACTAAGGGGAACTCTAAAAGCTTTTGTTGTTTACTTAAATGTTGTTAATTGAATGACCTAATTCAGACTCCCAGACAACTTTCAGATATGTCCTCATTGTTCCTGTGTGTCTGGCCCATGTCTGCAGGCAACCTGAGTGAGGGCTATATTCTGGTTGACCTCATTGTGATGGGGACGTTTCTGCTGACTGTCAGCTACATGATGTGGCTGACATAGATGATGAGGCTGGACATGTTCAGCAAGAGTGTTTGATTCGTTGTCTTTGCCTTTGAAAAAGTCCTGGATTTCAGTATTGCAGCCCGACTGGACAGGTCAGTTCCACTCACATTATCTTTTATCATAGACAGTTTATATATATTTTTATATTCACCAGCCATGATCGATGAGGAAGCTTTTATTGGATTTTGTGACATTTGAGATTCTTTTTTGACAAGGTCCCGCGTCAGCATAAATGACAGACAGGTAAATTACAGTATCTGGTATCAAACACAGATAACATACTTCATTATCACATGAAGAGGCCGGCCTACATTTTAGGCTACATTTATTTTGATTGACAAGATATGTCGACGTAATTAGTATCTCGTACGTATGTTTTGAGATGCCAGACAGCACTGAGCTTTCCTTTTGTTCACTCTTTTGTTCATGACTGAAATAAGCCCTGGTTCCCTTTAGGACTTGTTTGAATTATTGATATGTGGCATTCAATCAAGTGATACTGTATACCGTGTACAATGTCATCACATCCTCAAATTTTCCTCCCAAGATAATGAATAATAATCCAATCCCTTACTCTGGAAAGATGGATATTGTTTATTCAGGTGGCAGATGGCTGGAATATATTCATAAATCAGTGTGGATGAAGAAAAACTCTACCCTAAACCAAACATGCAGTCATCTGCAAGATTGATTTTGACAGTGTGTTTCACACTCTTGAAACACTGTTTGTGTTTCATATGCGTGTAGTTTGTTCAGGTACAGTTGAATGTATGCTAATAAAGGATTTTTATTTGCTCTTCTTTGTGTCTTTCAGTGTCCTTTTGAGAAGAGGCCTCCTGTTCATTGTCATGCTCCACCCATATATTGTATTTTGCAAGTGAACTCACAGCTTGTTTGCACTTCTTTGGTGAATTAAAATTGACTCGAGGTTTAAATATTTGTAATGTAAGGACTGTTTGCTTAGGCTATTATTTTTATAACTGAATGTGTATAATACTTAAAATCTAAAGTAAGAGAAAACGTAATGTTAGGATTTCACTTTGGTGCAGTCAGGCCTCTGTTTCTTTAATCTAATATTTACTTAAGTTCTTCAGTATATTTTTTTGATCGTCTATATGAAAGAAACGACCTTTAGGTTTCATATTTGTTCATATTTTCTCCAGTAGAGGGCAGAATTGTTTTGCTTAAGATTTGAATGGCGACAACGGTGATTTTACTCCTAAAAAGGAACATTTTGTTTTCCACTGTGTTCCACTTTTATGAATTGATCAAATAAGCCAGGTCAGCTGGAATGGAACGAATAACCTTCCAGTATTCCTAATGGTCATTAAAGTGCTTTCAGTTGTATCTTTTCAGCATATTATTCTAAGTTCAAAATTAATGTTTTAATTTGGCTCCTTGAACTTTTATCAGTACATATTTGATGTCAGATTAGCACTGATCCTCACTTAATCGTTCAGGTGAAGATCTATTGAAGAACTATTAGTTATTTCCTAACCCACATTCCTGAAACAGGTGATTTTTCAGCACTGACAGCTTAAGTTAATAATCAAACCCAATGGCCAGGTTTCCAAAGTAACCAGCTTCAAAACAAACCACATTTCACGGTGTCTGTGCTTGAGCGACAGCCAAGTACACAGACATTCCCTTGTGCATTTCACTGACTGTAGGTCAAGCCAGTGTGTGTGCAAGCATTTATATTTCCCATTTTAATTGTCTGTCACTGCTGGTATCATTCGAAATGTATTCACTTTTTTCATTTTTGTTAAAACATGGTCATTCAAGTGTTGTTCACATACAATAATATACAGAGAAGAGGGCATTATCATAATGATTTTCTCTGCAGGAACAGCACACTGCAGCTGGACAAAGAGTGGTCATTCTTACCAGCCGGTGACACTGAAACCTGGGCAGTGTTCCACACTGTTGCTCCTCTTTCATTCACCCGGTTGAATCCAACTAGTTCAGACCAGTCACTTCCCTGCTGCACAAAGTGAAACCAGTGGACATTCAATTATTCCACGACTGGAGAGCTTGCAAATAAAACGTATTGTGCTTTTGTAAATCATTAACAGCGTTTTTAAAATCAGTTTTTATTGCCATATAAATGTTGGTAATGTTTCTTTGGGGCACTCGTGCTTTACAGCAGAAGTTCCTAATGTTGGGTCTTCCTAAAGCACCAAAGGAGAGTTCACAAGATGTATAAAGAAAGAAAAAAAGGATTTCTGTTACCCAAAGTTATGTTGACTATTTATTATCATTTTCTCTTGTGAAATAGCTACAGAAAACAAAACGACAAAAGGCCTCAAGCAGACACAGCTTTACATTTAAGAGGTCACAAGCCAAAGGAGTTAGGAACCACAGCTTTACTCTCGAGATTTACAGTAATTTCACTAGATAGCTGGATAGAGTATGGGTTGTTGATGCTTCACTTAATGCAGGTGAACGAAACAGAATGAGTGAGTTGAATCACCAGCATGTATCCAAACTCTCAGCATGAAGACTTGGCAGCAAATTGAGTAAGAAAAGCTTCACACCCACCGACCGACCGACCCACCCGCAGTAAACTGCAGCTCCTCCCCTGTCATATTGAGTTACCTGCAGACTCGCCTATCACTCACCTGCTCCCGCGTTGCCTCCTCAGCGACTGTGTTTTCTGGGAACAACAAACGTCTGCGTCGGACGGAAACTGTATAGTTAAAAGTGTTGGATTGGATTGACAACAGCTCTATTTGAAAAACAAACAGGTTGCAAATATCGGCAGTTTCCTTCGGAGTTTGTCGTCCTGTACGGCTGCAGGCTGCGATGGCAGGCTGATGCTTCAGGTCTCGACCACGTTTCTCACCTTGAGCATCCCGTCCGGAAAACACCACTGTGAGTTCCTATTGGGGGGTAAAAGTTACTCTTCTTTTGTTGTGTTTCTTTCTTTGAGACTCACATTAACGTGGCTCCACTTGACAAATCCCACAGCAGGTCCCACTCAGTGACTGCATATGATCTTCCTCAGCAGATGATGGAGTTGCCTGGTTACTGTTTCTGAGTTATTTATGGCTTTATGTTGATTTAAAAGTCAAGATTGGTTGATTGGTTTATAGTTATGATTTGTTATTAATGATTTATTGAGTAATTAGGAAATGTCACCTAAAAGATGTTTATTGTCAGCGCTTTATGATTGTTTTATGATGAAGACTGTATGTCTGAAGTAATATTGATACTTGCTAAGATAAATCCTGAAATTGCACAGGGATTCATCTATGGAGCAATTCACACACTAACATTTGGTATTATTGGGTCCTCCTAGACTAATGTTCTGCTTGATTCAGCAGCAAACTACATGTTGCTACCATACATTTAAATCTGATGTCACCCACAACCCTAATTACAGCATTTAGCTCTGTGCTGAGTGGAATGTGCTTTAATTTGGGTTCAACGTGTTCATGAATAACCTCCTGACAGTCACATTACCAACCAAAGGAGAAACTCTGATTGCTAATTTGAGAATCAGTCTTTTCAGTGGGGTAGGTTGTTGTTCCCTGTGTGTTAGGAGAGTTATATAAATGGTATGTGAACAAATAGGGGCCGTGCCTGTGAAATCGGACCTGATTTTGTTTTGTGCTGGTTCTTTGTGACCTGATTCAGAGAATGCACTCACACCCTCCGCACCTGTAACATCATCACCGGATATCATACAGTGTAAAGTGATTCAGCCAGATGGTTACATAGCTTGAAATACATAAAATCTGATAACTGTCTTACAAAATGCTTAATCAGGAGCATGGAGCAAAGTCCAGATTGCTCATAGCAGAGTAGGCTCATATTGTTTTCACACATTACATAAGCTATCGCTGTCAATATTTTCTGTTTTTTTATGGTATGACAATGTCAAAATGTGTCAATGTTGTAATCAGACTGGTGTGACTTTATGTGAAAAATCTCTTCTTTTGTTTACACTTTGTACTCATAGTGGGTTTTTTTTCTCATGCAAAACAGCACGTAACGTAACTCAGAATGCAGAATCCATTGTCCAATAAGAAACATGCATGTTTATGTAACAATTAGTTTGGTCAGTGTTTCTAAATTTTAAGATTGAAGGTTGCAGTACATCAACAGATATTACACATTATACACTCTCAAATGATTAATGGTCACAGAAAGCAGTAGGACTATGACTTGTCTAACCTCATTCCATTAAATCTGAAAATCAAAAGAGACAGATATTATCAGTCATTTCAAAAAGAGGTGAGAATTAAATATGAGACATACGTGGCTTTATGAGTAAGCCTAAGATAGACGTCCTGCACACTCTGCTTCTATTTAATACCATGTAATTACCTCTGAATAAGAGGTTGTCATTATTGAACAATAAGTACCTTAGGCTGAGTGGAGGAGAGGTGTGCAGAGGGCCTCTCGCCATGAGGTTGACAACACATGACACCCAGCCGGTCCTGCTCCGGCTTCACCTCCCTCCTGAAACCTGGCTGAGGGCCAGAACAAGGAACAATAGCGTGGAGAGAAGATGACCAGAGAGATAAGGACAGAAAGAGGAAGTCTACCTTTTGTGTAGACTTGACTTACTAAAGTGAATAGGACTAGTTTTCTTTGCTCATTTGCATTTTTCAGTAAGATTTTGTTGTAGATGATCCTTTTCCAAGATATGATCTGCAGGAAATATGTTGGTCCTACAGCTGTGAGAGTTGCTGTTGTGGTTTGGCCTTACTATGTTTCAGAAGATATAAGGAGATTATCTGCTGAGGACGATTATGTTTATGATCTGCTGTGAGATAAGCCTGAGTGGCCGCACATGTAACCTGTAACTGTCACATACAATATTTATTTAACTTGTAGTTTACTGCTGCTTGTTATGCAAAAACAGTTTTATAGTTAAGAAAGTGGGTAAGGCAGGACAAAACAGTCTGGTTGGAAAATTATACTGAAACATTTGTTGCTATTGTGGGACGCACGCCCAATGCCACAAAGTGACACAAGGTCAGTGTCTTACAGGTTGGATTGTTCTTTCAGAACACTTCAAATGCTTGCTAGTGACACAGGATCCTAACGTCTCGCCACCAATTAATAATACAAACTGAATGGGTTTCCTAAAGCGATACATTTCTACTTTAGAAGTCACATAAGCTGGTAAAAGGTGGTTAATTTCTCCAGAATTAAATAGAAGTCACTTTAGGCCTTGACTTATTATTACTTAACTTAACTAAATACTTATGAGTGATTATATATAATGTGGTGGTCATAACTAGAGATAAGCAGAGCCCATTCTGTTGTGTAACTCATTAAGTGTTTAGCTAAAGTGTGTGCTGATATATATTACATAACCTTGTCAGTACATGCCTTGACAGACAAGTCAGACTCTCCAGGCCCAGAGGGAGAGGTGTGGGAGAGTTTCATTCTCTCATTTCTCTCTAACCTCTCAGATTTAGACTCACGTTGGTTTGTCTCTTGCGAGGCCTTGCTAATTATCAAATAGTTAACATGGCTGCGTGTAAAACCCAACCAAATGAATTAATTGCAGATATAGTCATCAACAGAGTGGATCTCATTACACAGTGCATATCTGCCTGCTGTCTGCTATTGTCCCAGATCAGTCCCCCGACTGCAAGCAGTACAGGCCCAACACCTGGCTCTCCTCAGTGGAAGAACAGGCTGTTTAGTAGACTACACCTCAACTTTGCATACCATATCTAAAACCTTAATGAGGTCACTATATAGCTTTTTAAGCTTCAACACCATTGCCTGCATTTGAGAACTCAGCAAAGTGGAATGAGAGTGTAAAAATGAAAAGATACCTGATGCAACCGGCATTTAAAGGGCCTTTTAAAATAAATAATGCATGTTTGTTTTGGTGGTTTTTCCCTCCACCACCAGCCACTGCCCTCTCTTAGTCTTTCATTAACTCTCTTCTCATCCTCTTCTTTTTTAGGTGGATGCCTTAAATCATGAGTGTCCTGGGACCTCCATCGAGGCAAGCCAAGTGAGTGTTGCACACATTCCTGCTTCCCCTCACATATTTACCTTTCTCTGTGCTAGCTAATCGTGTTACGCTGAGTTACTCTCACACAGGCGCCAGAGAATCACTAACCCAGTATGTAGAAGGTGGTGTGGGTCAGGGACCTCGGGCACAGAGCGGCTCTGTTGAGAATTGTTTGCTTTGCCTGGGTTCCTGGCTCTAGCCTCCCTCCATGCCCCATACCTTCCTCCCTCCCCCTCTCTCTCCCTTTTCCACTCTCCCTCTCTCTCCCTGGCTGGTCCATATGCTCAGAATCTCAGGCTAATCTCATCTAGTGTTGGCCAGTCTGCTCTCCGTATATCACTCCTATTTTGTGGGCTAGCGTTCATGAGAAGTGACAGTGTGGGAGTTTCAGAGGGTTTGTGACACTTGACATCCAGAGGTGCAGGGGAGAAGATGAAGAGCATGCAGCGTAACCCTGTCTCCTCTTCTTGTCATTGCAGTGGAGTGGCAAGATCGGACAGCAAGATCAGCGCCAAGGCCCTCTATGGTAAGTGACTGCATGGAAGGAGTATTTTATTGTTGGCCTGTTTTCAGGACTTTGCCTTTTCGTGCGCTCTGCATGTAATTACACCTGCCCTTATTTATTTGGCATGAGTCACTGCAGTTTATAGTTTAGAGCTTGTAATTTAGGAGGTTGAACAACAATAGTTTTATGAAAACTTGCTCACTGATTATTAAGTATTATAGCCCATTATTATTTCTATTCTTAAAAGCAGTATTCTATATTTGCCTTATTGCCTCTGTAGCCAAAGCCGGATTGTTGACCTCTATCGTCCATTAACTATTAAAAACACGTTTTTAACCTGAGTAACATGTTAATGAACAAGGGCACTGCAGTTTATTTTGAATCAGTCCCTCATACACCGTCTTTGTGCAGTAAATACTCTCTAGTGCATCAAATTTGTATTAATTCGCAGTTGAAAATAGTCCCCGACAACAAACTTCAGTGCCCAGCTGTTTTAGCTGTTATAAATAAAGCTATAGTATATTTTTAAAATTGTACATCTCTAGTAGGAACAAATCGCAGATGGAATATGGTATATAACACCAGCTTTATCCATGCTGATACCTTTACCAACTGTAAACTGTCAAGGTATGTTGCTCAGCAATTCACTCAAATCACAACAATATTCAATTTGCTATGCAAATGTAAGAAAATCCAGCACTATCACTCTGCTGCATGTTGTTGCAGCCTCACAGCCTCCCTGACCTGTCACAGTCCTCTCCTCAAAACACACACACAGTGATAAGAGGGGGGGCTGAGGTCCTGCTGAGGGGCCCTGTTGTGCTCAGGCTGCTGACACCTCTGTCAGACACTAAGGGACATGGGAGGGAGGCTGAGCTCCTGAAGGGAACACGTGTTGCTAGCTCTTTGCCAGGCCTGCACAGCATGCTGGGATTTGTTGTCGGATGCATCAGGCCTTTTGTTGTTTGTCTGTACTTTGTAGTCACATTGTGTGCAGAAGTACATTTATGTTGTCTGACTTTCGGTCTTTTGTGTTTACTTTGAATTGGAGGTTTGTGCTATTGTAGGGCTCCCTTTAGATCTACATTGTCTGCATTACTGATCTGTCATGACTGTGGTGAATTTCAGTAATACAGTTATGGTATGACAGGACTTTTATTTTAGCTGCGGCATATTTGTGTTAAGGCGTGTGTTTGTGCACTTTAATGTGCAATGTTAGAGTGAAGGGTGTGTCTGTTTTTGATCTGTGGTTGGAACAGGGTGGGGATGTCTTGCAGGTGAATAAAAGACGCATTGAAAAGTGGAAGGGAAAAAGCACACTCTTGTTCACCTCTGGTCCTCCCTGCGCTGCCTCAGACATTAGCTCACTGGTCCCTGCCGGCACCTCCTTCCACACTGCCAACATAGAAGAACATTGTACAGCATATCATAGGCCCAGATAGAAACCCACACCGAGCAATGACAGGACAACCTGCTCTCATGCTTCGCTGCACTGTTCCAAATTTAGAACAGCCTCACATGACAGATGATGTATTGTAGGGATGCAAGATGTTCCCAAACCATCTGACTGTGCACCTCGTTGTGTGTGAAATATTTTTGTGCCGTAAGTCATCCAAATATCCACAGGGCGCACCCACTCCTGTGATCTCTGTGAAATATCCCACTGTATGTGCGATGAGCCTGTGCTGTTTTTCATTGGCTCTTCTCATCTTATGTGGCAGATGGTCACCACTATCTTCTCACTGCATGACAGCAGCATGCCTGTCCTCCTGAACCAGAGAGGCCGGTGAGTGCACAATATTGTGCACCATCCAAAACAGTGGGAGATATTTAGATAGATGTTGGACTGTTTCTTGCTACTTGCTGAATAAACATGTAGAGGAACAACTGCAAAAGTCCAAGCTCAATCTCCTTTATGCAAAACTCCCCTTCATTCACCAGTGTAGGTCAGCTGGCAACTGATGCAAATGATGTGCGGGTCCTCCTACCTGATCTTTTATCAGCAGCTGTGGGCTAGAGCAGAGAGATGCCACATCAGACTCATCATCCCTGGACTTCGACCATCCAGCAGCTTTCCTGAATTTCTCGGTTTGTGATTGAGCAGCATGTCTTTGTCAGGTAAAATGTGTTTGGGCTGAGAGACTGAATCAAACACATTGACTTTGACCCTCTCCTGCTCGGCTGTTTTTCTTGAATATCTGCGTATGTATGAAATTTCTCTGATCGATCCACTATTTCTAGTATAACTTCTGTCAGTAAAACATGTTCACGCAGTTCCACTCTTGTTGTGTGTATTTGTCTTTGTTAAAGCAGTATTATCAGTAGCTGTATTTTCCAAAATAATTGTATGTGTTTGGCTTCTTACTGTTCTTACATTCTCGAGAATGTTCGATGTAATAATGTATTAATTAGTTTGACTCTGTGGTGAATCGTGCTGTGTGGTGATGTGATCGTTTATGGTAACATATGTCCAAATCTTTGTGGACACAGCAGCACAGTATCCTAAGGTTGGCCTACAGTTAGAGCAAAAAAAAAAATCAGGTCACGAAGTCACTTATTGTTTCACTTATCTGGGTGGTTGGAGTCATTCAGTATTTTGATATTGTTATAAAGAATTTTATTAATCTTCATCTCACTAAAGGAAACAAGCACATTGACTCAAATGTAAACAGCTTCATGACATGGTATCAAAAAAAATCCTTGTCAGTCAGGTTGATGGTTAAAGGGCAGTTTTTAGGGAGGTCAGATTGTCTCATTGATCTGGCCATGTATTGGTTTGATTATCTGCCAAGCAGCCATGTTTATCACTGGTCATTGACTCTGGAGAGCTCTGAGGATCTGCCCATCTGCCTGCTAAGTGGCTCTTATTGCAAGCTGTCTCAGCGCTGTGAATTGATTGGCATAAATGTCAGTCATTAATAAGACATGGGGCGAGCTCAACTTTCCGAACGACACCTGACGCTTGTGTTTCACCTGTGGGGAGCCAAGCAGGAAGGAATCAGCAGAGAGGAAATGGCAGGAACAGGAAAGACACATGCTTGCGTCATTTGGACAGTGACGGTGGTTACACAGATATAAAGTCGTCCCTTTAGAAATCCTTTCTCAGTGCTGAGAACATAGAAGAGTCAGCGCTCTATGAATTATTAATAAGGGGATATTAAATATTGGTATGTACCTTGACACACACTTTGTATTGTATGTGTTATACAAAGGCAGGCCTTTTGTGTCATGTTCACCATAAAGCAAAACGTGACTGAATGTCTGTATGAAGAGAAAACCCGTGTGGCATCAAAATGTTGACTCTGTTGGGTGGGGGACAAAAAGAGATCTCATATCAGGATCTGGCAGTGGAGTTGATAGGAACAGGCTCTCATTTAACCGTAATTGTTACCTGCAGACTATTCACCTGGTAAATAGGTCAATGAGCACACTGGCAAACTCATTTACCATTGGCCAGTTAAAAAACAATGGGTCCAGCCAACACTACACGCAATCCTGTGAGTAATGACGTTTTTGAAAGTGGAATTTTGCCAAGTGATCTCTAGTGTTTACAAATTCAAACTTTTAACTTTATTGGTATTTTTGATATCTTGTAGTGCGTTTGAAAACCTGTGGTCAGTTTGAATGCTTAACATTTTTTTCTCAAACATTAAAGCAGGTATAAACAATATTTATAAAGTATCAATAATTCAAGAGAATGCGTGAAAGGGATCACTGGTAGTGGTAAAAGTACAGAAAATGCAGCTCCCCTCAGCTTTATGGAGCTTTATAAAGAGTTTCAGCTCTTTTTTTAGCTGCACGGCACTCAACAGTATTGTCGTGGTTTGATCTCATGTAGGGATGGGAATTGAGAATGGGTTCCCAATTGTCCAATCCATAGGAATTGTATGCCACCGAGTTTATGAATTCCTTTTATCAATGCCAGCATTGTTTTCTGACAGTTGGGCATTGCAAAACAATGTCAAATCAAACTCATAGGTCCAAGCTGCTGGAAAGATCCAAAGCGTGGCTTCATTTCACAAAAAAACGACTATAACTCTTTTTTCTAGACTGTGTTCAGACTCAGAGATAACAAAAAAGTTGAACTGATGCTAAAAATCTATGTAGGGAAACACAGAAAACTGATCAGGAAGCAATAAGGTGGCAGAGTGTGTTTTCATATTATATGTGAATATGTGATGATGAAATTTGACCCTCAGTGCACAGATACATCAGGAATCTTTCTATCTTTTATCTACTAGAAGGTTACTTGTGACAATTTACAATACTGTGCCACAGATGAGGAAGTAGGCACGGTCCTGTCGGGAAGCCGGTCGCTGATCTTTGACTGTAGTAAATCTGTGCCTCTGATTGGTGCCTTAGAACGGAGCGAGCCTTTATGCGAGCTTAACCAATTTACTGTAATGTGAGATAGGGCAAATCTAGTGACACAGAGTCTTTGATATGATGAGATTTGATAATTAACTTCTCAGATTGGTCTGTTTCCAGTTTATTTGCCCTCTGAAAGGACACTTTTGTAAACAATATTATGCTAAAATATGTATTAGCTCTTAGTATAGTTTGACCACTATTGAGAGATGTCATGTCAAATACACAATCGTGTCTACAGTTGCTGCATGAAACAGCACATTACAGGTACTTGGCACTTCCTTATTGCCCTGCTGGTCTTTTCAGGTCTCACATGAAGTGTTTCATTTGATCTGCTCACTCTGGTGAAGCGTGCAACATGTGGACTTCAGGTCTGTGTCACTGCTGGCTGTTTACATTGTAGGATACAGACAGATTGCAGGCAGGACTTGGATTATTCTCAGTTTCTTACTTTTAACGTGGCTGTTTTCTTCTCAACAGAACAGAGGAAAAAATACTCCAACTCCAATTTTATCATGCATGAGACATCGCAGTATCATGTTGAGGTAAGATCTGCTCTATTTCTGATTCTCTGAAAAATGAAATATTTGTGTTATAATTTTATCCGTTCCTGTATTTTTAGAGTTTTAGAAATAAAGCAAACTAATATGTAGAAATGGAAAGCTAGGCAAAATATTTGAAACTCAATCACTAGGTTGAAAATCATTTTAGTTGCCATTAAAGTGAAATAAAAAGTTAAAGATTAATAGTTTTCTTTCATAGAAAACCTCACTATGAATGATCCAAAACATTTTTAGTTTCCTATGTATTGCACTTTGTATTCTGTATTATTTAAATGTTTTATTTAATTTTTAATGCGACTAAAGCATGTTGTATCTGTAGAAAGGCATCAGAGATAAAACAGAATTGATGGCAAATTTTAAAATTTGTATAAAAACAAGAAATTAAAATGGAAATTCTAATAATTGGGGCGTTCTGGTAACTCAGTAGTTTTACGTCTGTAGTTTGAATCTCTTTTTCTCAATGTTTCTTGCCACGATGTACTATAAACTGGCCAGAAATAATAAAATACATGAAAGGCGTGAAAACAGATCATATCTTATACTTAAGATATACAAATGTGCAAATGTATATCTTTAGAAAGGTTATTGAACCTCAAATAAAAATCAAGATAAAAGTGAAACACTTACTAGAAACATTAAGGTGTATTGTTCCATTGCCCAGAGATAAAAGCAGATACACTTGTTAATCTCTAGATTACATCTCATGTACGTGACCTCTGTCATAAAAAAGCAATCAAACCTCTGATTGCAGCAGTGGGAGCTGATGTTGGGAGTCAGAGATGTGCTTAAGGTCAGGTAAGGTGTTGAACCAGGTCCTGTGTCTGCGCGGATAGGATTTCTCTAAACGACTCCCCATTATCTCACATGGGCAGGTAATCACAGATAACTGCCACGCTGGCAGCAGTTGTATACAGAGCGGGGGAAGTGCAATATTGCAGTTTTGATATCAGATATATCAGATAAAATAGAACAGAAACAAAAATAACGCTGTCAGGGCATTTTGAGAGATAAGTGTTTCAGCAGGTAATAGCTGTAAGAAAACAGGCATAAATATACAGTTACAGTTAAAGGAATAGTTTAAGATTTCTGGGGGTTATATGCTTGTCCTACTGTTCTTGGCAACTAGCGGAGATTTGTTGCTAGTACAAATTGAACAATAATATAAATATAATGTGTTACTTAGTGAGCTTTAGACGTGATTGTGTGTGGATTTTATGTTTTATGTTTCCAAAACATACCCCTCTGTCTTCCCAGAGAACCATTGTTGTTTCACACCAGGTCACCTTACAGCCAAACATTTTATCCTTCATTTACCAACCCACTACTTTCTCCTCAGCATCTCTCCACGTTTATTATGGACAAGACAGAGTCCATTGCCACAGTAGACGATGCCATCAAGAAACTGGTCCTTCTGGACTCAAAAGACAAAATCTGGACCCAGGAGATGCTACTGCAGGTCACAGACAAAGCGGTCAGGCTGCTGGACTGTGACACACAGGTACGTCTCCACATCTGTCTGCACATTATGAGATTATGGTAACATGATTTACACTCACTGATTTATATTTGTGATCTAAAGCATATTTGTAAGTATTTGAATCTGATTTTCACATGCAGAAGAAAGTATACCTTTTGTGATGGGTACTATATGTGCTGTCTAGTCAGTTTAAACGTCTTTGGTAGTACTACAAACCCTGTGAAAATATAATGTCTCATGTCTCTGGAGGAGATTTGTCAAGTCTGGAAAATTCAAGTGATCACCCAGGTACCTTGATACTCTTGGGCCAGTTCTGTAAACAGAAAACCTGCTTTGCAGAATGGGGGTATGGAGTTTGAAAGACGTGAGCGTTTAACCAGGCAGGGAAGAAAAAATGCTATGACGGGAACTATAGGATGCAGGTTTATAGTTCATGCTAAGAGTAGCCAGCATTATAATATGATGTCAACATCATGCAGCCATACATTTATTTTTTACATTCATGTCATTTTCACCTACATGGTTATTATTTTGTTCATTTACACACTGAACATTTTTACATTTTGGGAAATTCACTGATTTGTTTATTTGCTGTCTGTTCAATATGACGCTACAACCAGCAGCCAGTTAGCTTAGCTTAGTTATGCTAAGCTAAGCTAACCGGCTGCTGGTTGTAGGTTCATATTTGCTGTGCAGATATGAGAGTGGTAATTCTTCTCATACACATCTTTTATAAAACTATTAGTAGTATCTCACTGAGAACTCGGGTAGTATTACTCTTTCCCTCTAACCATTCCTCTGTTGGCTCCTGCAGGAGGAGTTGGAGAACTTTCCTCTCTCCATCATCCACATGAGTCAGACGGTCCTGAATCAGACACGTTACCCGTCTGTGCTGCTGCTGGTGTGTCAGGACAAGGAGCAGCACAAACCCGACATCCACTTCTTCCACTGTGACGAGGTGGAGGTGAGTCTCAGTTTGAATGTTACAGGCTTGGCTCAGTTTGCGTTCTTTAGCGTCTGTGCATGATTGGCTGGCTTTGTGTTTTGTGTCATTCATAAATCGAAGGTGTTGTTGTTGGAGCACCAGGTCAGATTTCAGTGCTGTTGGTGACAGTGTGTTTGTGTGTATCCGTTTACACTTTTTGCGGCCTTGTTAAGAGATAACTGCTCAAGAGGAAGATCTTTCCCCGGAAACGGTGTAATTCTATAACTTCTTATAAAAACAATATGGCTTTATAGTTCAGAATCACTACTAGTAAGCTCAGAAAGAAAGAAATATTTGAAAGAAACTGAGGAGGATCTGAATATAACAACATTTGGATTGTCACATAGGGCTCTCCTTTGGCTTTTTATTTATAGAATATAAATGAAAGTACAGTTTCTTATCTATAAAAACTGTGACGTTGTTTAATGTGAGTAAAGAATAAGAAAGTCATTGTATTTAATTTCCCCACCTTTTGGCTGTATGTAAAGATGGTTTTTTTTGTGAGCATCACAGAGCGCATCACCAATCAATTTAAACAAACTAATGGACAAACTAGGCCCTAAAACAACAGAAAATCTGTCAATGCAAGACCTGTTTGTAGGTTTTTAGTTCACAATGCTGACCTTTCTAATGTCTGTTAGAACAACAGCAATAAACAGGTCAGATTGCTCCTCAGTTTTGCAGCAGCCAGAGCTTTGTGGCATAGATTATAAAAGATAAAAAAGATTTAAAAATATGAATGAATTATAAGTAACTCCTGTGAGTTTGTCTGTAGACTTGAAATTAAATGAGAGAATATCAGAATCAGGAAATAAACCAATTATCACCGTGCATTCCAATATCTTTCCTATTCAAACAAAATATAATCGATCACTTTGTTCAGTTTAGAGCCCATCATGAGGTAGATATTATTTTCCGTTTGCTATTGGGTCTAGGGGAATGAACGGTAAAGAGAAATAATATTGGCTGTATTGGCTGCCAGTGATGTCAAGTGTAAAACTGTACAATAGTACGATGTTCCTTAACAAGAAAACAAATAAAATAAAATGTTTCTCTTCTCACTTTTTTAGGCTGAGATGGTTCATGCAGATATAGACAGTGCCATTGGAGACAACAAGCATGGGAAGAAAATGAGGCTTCAGACTCTGAAGTGAGTACAGTGCTGCAGATACACACATGAACACACACACACACACAGACATTCTCGCGGTTAAATACACAGTGAAGGATGTGACACTGACCTGTAATAAGTAGTTAGCTAGCTTGATGTTAGGGTGCTGAAGGTTGCCATGTCTCCGCCTCTTCCTCCAGGGTGAACCAAGAGAAAATGAAGCATCACCGAGAAACAATTCTCCCCCCCTCCGCCCCTAAGGGCCCCTCACCTGCCGCGAAGGGACGAGTGGAAGCTACGAACACAGGAGGTGAGACTACACATACTGCACTCAGAAGAGTTGCATTCATATCAATGTGTTGTTTGTTTAATCACGTGAGTGTTTTTGTGTTTATGTAGACAGACGAGCCTCACAACATGACGCAGAGTCACATGAAAAGCTGGCACAGCGCATTGAGAAGGATGTGGTGAGCGTTTTTTATCCATAATGATACCCGTCAGTACATTACACAGCTCCTTTCACTGACTCATAATGTCACATTGTACATGCTAATTGACGAAGATTTGTCTCCCTCAGCAAATCCTCAACTGTGCCCTGGATGACATAGAGATTTTTGTGTCACGTCTGCAAAAGGCAGCAGAGGCCTTTTCTCAGCTCAACCATCGCAACAAGAGTAAGAAGAATAAGAAGAAAGGACCAGCAGGTCTGTCTCCCTTTCTTCTGATGTGGTGGCACGAATGCAGTGACAATATGTTTATATTGCTCACATTGCCATGTTTGTGTCTCTTTGTGTCCTGTGACCCGGGACTCTCATCCAGTGATGCATGTGTGGTAGTAAAGGCCAGTTTGGGGTTCTGATAAGTAACACAGTACTCATTACTCAATTGTCATTACTGATGTAATATTATTACTTATTCACTCCCTGGAAGTGCTGATCTGGTGTATTTCTGTCATGTTACACTCACAGAATGGGTGGTTTATTATTATCACTGTGCTTCTGTCTGAATTACAATGTTATTGTTATGTATGCGCCTAACAAAGACTAAATATCGGTAACATAAAAAAAGATTATTTGAGTCAAAACTGTTTTAATCATTATGGACTGAAAGAATAACAGCATATCAGTTTCCCTAATTATTACTATAATTATAAAGTAATAATATTACTTGTTGAGTAATGTTTTAGCACCCAACACCGGCAGTGATGTGATGCTGTGTTTTTATTTCAACACACCTCGAGACATATACTGCACATGTAACATACATGTGACTGACTAATGCACCTGTTTCAGGGGCAAACACACATCATTTGGTATAATAACAATGTAATAGTAATACAAGTGTGTGTTGTCCCTGACTACAGAGACAGATGTGCTGAAAATGATGTATTCTCAATCTAGAGAATCAGTTTCTCAACTTTGTTCAGAATCCTATGTGGGGTGATTTGTTGATGAAAATCAACTAGATTTGAAGATCATACTTAAATTTACATTGTATAACTCTGATTTCTGGGGTTTATGAGAAAGTTGAGAAACCATGATGTAGCATATTCTTTCTGAGGCTTTGACTCTGTGGCTATAATGAACATTTTATGTGTAAAGTTATTTATAAACTAACCATTATTGTACTGTTAACCTGTATTTCACTAATGATGGAAGTTGTAAGCTTAAGTAGAGATGAAAGTGACATTTAGGTTTATGGGCCCTGGCCAGAGAGTGAAATCCTGTGTCCTGTCTGGTAACTCGGCTGGTAACTCTGGAGTCTGTGTGTGGTCATTGTTGCTCTGGTTGTTCACAGAGGGCATGCTGACCCTGCGAGCCAAGCCCCCCACTGAAGCGGAGCTCATTGATAGCCTGCAGAAACTGAAGCTGGCTTTCAACCTCTTGGTGAGATATCACAGCTCCTAACCTCCCTCATTCAGCACATTAATCAGTTGCCCTTCATCACCTTCTTAATGTGTGTCCTGTCATTGTGCCCCCTGCAGGCCAAACTGAAGAAACACATTCAGAATCCAAGTGCGTCTGAGCTGGTTCATTTCCTGTTCGGCCCTCTGGAGATGGTAAGAGCTATAAATCGGATGTCAGACAGGTTTGATATGGATGAAGGCTGTCTCACAGCGGATGTCATCATCCTGAACACTGGGTGATTTTTCTGAATGTCAACAGTATAAATCCACGTCACGCTAAATAAGTTCTCCATGTCACTGGATACCCCCAGTGTTGACTGAGCACAGGCGCAGCTTACAAAAATACACAGAGCTTTTTTAAATGCACACAATGAAAACAGTTTAGCTTTTTTATTGTCGCCATCAGACGTTCCTCTAACTGTTTCAATTTCTTAATGGGACAACACCCACTGCCGTTCTCTCTGCTAAACTCTCACCAGACTGGAGGGACATGGCTTTCAGCTGTGACTCAGGTGCAACCACAGTTACATAATGTTGGTCTCCCAAGCCGCAGCGTTCAGCCACACCTTCGATACTGCTGTCTAAAAAACACAAAGCTGTGATTAGGCTCTGCATTGATATGGTGCAATAACCTCTGGACACATTGGATTTGCTTGATAAGGTCAAGATAAAGCAGTGATACTCAAAATGTGACGACATAGTCATTTGCTGTTCTCAACAGTCACCCTCAACAGCACAGCAGCTACACGTATACATGTATGCGGTTTTTAGTTTTACACTGTAAACAAGATAAAGACCTATTTTAGTGTGTTCAAGAGAAATTTGTAATGCAGTTAATTATCAGTATTTTATCCAGGATGCTGCAAAATATATTGTTTAGTTTAATTTCTTCAGTGAATACTCTGGCTGGATGTCAAACCTTAATATTTTTTTAGGATTGGCCAAATGTGAGCAGAGCACTGAGTATCAAAAACATTCAAGTATCAAAATTGGCCCCTTTGGTCAGATCTTTCATCTTGTTTACTTATTCTTTAGGCAGATATTTTCTGATTCAAATTAACAGTTTAAAATGCTAATATTTAACAGTGTTCTTACAAAGATCTTGAGCAGCTGTTTGTGTGTAGACAATATTAACAACAACAACTGATGCATTGAGACTATTGGCATATCTTCATGAATGAAAAAACATTTTTATATAGCCTATTTTTTAAGTATTGAAAAACAAATTGTACTAGTACCCAAATTCTGGTATCATATTGGCACAGATATTGAAACATTTTAAATGATACACTACCGTAGATAATATATAGACAAAAAATATCATCTTAACACATTGCGTAATCAATCAGGCAACTTCTGAATTCGTCCACAGGTTCTGCAGAGCTGTGGAAGTCCTGAACTGGTGCGTTCAGTAATCTCTCCTCACCTTTCCAAAGACGCTGTTGATTTCCTGCGGGGACACCTCACCCCCAAAGAGATGACTATCTTTGAGCTCCTTGGGGATGGATGGACCAAACCCAGGTACATAAATGGTGGCATTTATATACTGCTTTAATCCAAGGCGCTTTACAATTTCCCTCTCATTCACACACACTCACTCCGCTGCCATACAAGGTGCTGGTCTGACAATTAAGAGCAACTGGACACGAAGACATGAATGCAATATTACTGCTGGCTTTTGACCATCCTGTCCTTACTCCTCCTGCAGGGCAGAGTGGCCCAGGGATCAGTGCGCTCCTCCTTATTACCCAAAGTTTCGTAATGGCTGGGAGCCACCGGTGGAGCTCTTTAGGACAGCCCCATGGGAAACAGAGGGACCCACAGGGCCACTGGGGCCTCCCATCAGCCCAGATTATAGAAAACAATCTGAGGATGTAAGGGTTTTGTTTGTTAGCTACCGTCTGTGAATGTACCAACCATTACAGGTCCCAACAAATTGTAACAAACATCTGTCTGTTTTTCCAGTTTTATGGGACTCATTCATCAAGCTCATCAAATGGGTAAGAGATGAAGCCGTTCACACACTTTGCTGTCTCTTTCACATACAAAAACAAACTGTTATAAGAGGATACAACATGTCTTAACAGGTCCTTCAATGGGATTCCCCACACCCGCAAATATGCCAAAATTCGCTACCACTTTGTAGCACGGAATGCCAACGAGCTGTCAGTGCTGCAGGATGAAATCCTCGAGGTAAAAAATGGACCTGGATCTGAACTTTACTTTCTAATGATTGTGTGTCGAAGTGTCTAATGGGGATAACGATCTGAGTTGTTCAGTGGCAAAAACAAGCACTTTTAATGGTAAAATTTTGATGGTGTGTAATTGCGCATAAGGATTAAGTTGTAGCCTGTTTCACGGCTGCAGGCTGCAAAGCTTTACCCCAATACTGGACAAAATTCAAAACTTGTTGTTCCCATTAGTCACTTTGACACAAAAACATGAGAAAATAAGGTCCAGGTTAAAAAATACAGAAGATACCCTTTAAAGGGATAGTTTGTTTGTTTTTTAAATGGGGTTGTATGAGGTACGTATCCATATGCAGCGTCTTACCTGCAGTAGAGGGAGGTCAGCACAGCCCCAATTTGGAGAAGCAGACAGATGCCTTAAAAAAACAATATGGGTTTAAGTATACACTTTACTAAGAACATTTTAATCTTGCTGTCAGAGAGCTCTTTCCTTTGGTGCTGGTGGGGGCGCACTGACCTCTGTCTGCTGCAGGTAATACACTAACTAGGGATAAGTACCTCATACAACCCCACTTCAAGCCCAAACTATCCCTTTTGTGAATGTGTCTGCTGTGAAATTGTAAAAATGAAAAGTCACTGCAAGCACTGAAGCAATTTCAGCTGCATGCAGGTCATGAGTGTGCATACTTGAGTTTCATTACAGTTTTCAATGCTGTGGAGTGAGATATGAAATGTGTCTTGCAGGTGATAGAGGATGACAAACAGTGGTGGAAACTTCGGAATCGAAGCGGCCAGGCCGGCTACGTCCCATTTAACATCCTGGACGTGGTGAAGATAGAGGAGCCAGAGGGCGTCTACAACCAGGTGACCTGCTGTGCTATACATGCAGTGCATTAACATTACATTCTTTAAATAACACTAATAAGACTTTTTTGATAGCATTGTTGAAACTCAGCCCTTGGTGTCACAGGAGGCATTTCTGAGTTGTAGTTTTGTAGTTGTGAGGTGTATTTTTAGTATTACCAGAGGCAATGTCATAACATGGTAGAAGGTTTCCAGCAGCTACACTGACATTTTGATGACAGCAAACATTGTAGACTTTGTAGCAGTATTAAGATACCAGTTTGTCTGCAATGCAGCCACGGGACATGCTGTGTTTTTGAATTTCAGCTTTTTGCACATTGTACATATGTGTCAGTATCACTGCAGCCATAATCCTTATCGCAACTGCACAAAACAGTACAACTGCACAAGGTGACAGAATGAAGTCTGGGAAATGTCACTATACTAGCTAAAGTATTAGGTAACAGGACAGGTAGTGGTTTCTTATGCTGTTGGATTCATTCATTTTGCAACTAGGAATTGTTGCTTCTGGGTAAAAAATATGAAAGATGAAACAGACAGATACATTTGTCACAAGTAATCAGATGAAAAAACCTCAAGATAAATAACAAACAATGTATTGTATGTACAAGTCATCACTTTGATTATTTAACATTTTAATATAAATTCAGAGTTTATCTCAGGATAATCGTGAATGCATTGAACATCACAGATAAAAGCTAAAAGGATTTTTCCTTTTGTAGTCGTATCATCTGAACACTGCAGATCAGTGAAGTTTTGTGTACTCTTGCTGTGATCCTGCACATTGTGCAGCAATATGTTCCCACCCTCACTGAAAGCCTACATTCCCAAAGACAGGGACTGCACACATTCATTGCATGCAGGTTCACCAACGCCCTGCAGCAGCTGCTGCATGCAGCTACTCTTCCTGGTGTGAAATACTTTCACACACATATTTTGCTTTTGGCTCCTTGGCAAAAATGTATCAACCTGAGAGAGGTTAAAGACAAACCTGTTTTTGGAATAATACAGGCTGCGGTTGCTTTCTCCTGAACAGTGTTTGTGTGTTTGTGTGCAGCACGGCTACAGGACGTCACCTCCTGGTTCTCTGAGCCATGGAGACAGCTTCAACAAGGGGAGACCCAAAGACAAAAGTGAGTGAACACAAACAAGAGCCATATATTTTTTGTCTTTTTGAATCAACTCTTACAAGTTGTTGGTCTTGTTCTGACGTCTGCTGCCGTCCTGTTTCTGTGCTGCAGCGATGGATGACGTCAACACTGAGTTATTGCAGAAAATCACTGCTAACAAAAGCCAGCCGCCCACCAGGAAGTTCCACGTGGAGCGATCATCCAGCAGCCATGTGCCTCTCACCTTTGACTCAAACCCAGAGCAGGTGACTGCGTGGCTCAGCGCGCTACGTTTCTCAAAACCGTAAGTCACCCACGTAGTCATCAGTCCAGCAAATCTTTTCCTACACCTTCTTCAGTTCTGACTGGCTTACATTGTATTTCTACAGTTTTAACATATTGTCAGCAATGGATTTGTAGTACTTCAGTATTTTCTACAGACATTCATGGAAGATCAACCCTTTGATGATCCTCTGACTCTTCCCCTACCATGAAGTTGACGTTTGTGACTCTGAGTGAAATATCTCAACAAATATCGGATTGACATGAAATGTATGTCCCGCTGAGGAAGAATTATGATACCTTTGGGGATCCTTTGACTTTCCATTTAGCACTTAGCTGGATTCACAAGATCAAGAGATCGCGTGAATCCATCATGCCAGGCTTCATGTTAATGTGCTTGTGTCCAAACCACAGTGGTTCAAACTAAATAGCATCCTATGACGAACTGCTGAAAACCACGGGCATGTGATGACAGTGAGAACAACAATGTTGGCTCCTTAAGAGAAGAGAACTGGAAAGTATTTCTTCTTTGAAAGAACGGCGAAGAACAGCACTGAAGGCTTTTCTTGATTGAAAATATGTTTTTCCTCTTCTCCTGACTGGATTCAGCAAGAGTTTGATTCACCAACTGGCTCTGGTAGTGGAAAAAAAAGGGGAGGTTTTGATTTAGAAACAAACCATATGTCGTATCAGTAGCATCCTCAGGTCAAAATTTAAACTTGCCCAATACTTTGGTTTAAAACTTGAAAATTTCCACTCCCTACATGCTAACACGCTAAACTACGATGTCGAACATGGTAAACATTACATCTACTAGACATTCGCATGTTAACATTGTCACTGTGTGCATGTTGGCCTGCTGACAACAGGTACAGCATACAACACTCTCTGATGATGACGGACTTTGTGTTTACATCGATGATGCTAGGAGACAAAGTGGATGGACACTTCTTTTTATGTATATATTAAAATGTATATATTAAAATTTCCCAGAAAGCCATCCCATTGAGCCAGTGTGCACAGTACCAGGATGCCAGATCCAGTTGTTATTGATAACACCTGTAATTTTCCTGATATTAAATGTAAAAGTCTTTGTCTGCAGGACGGTTGAATGTTTGGGGATCCTGACTGGAGCCCAACTGTTCTCCCTCAACAAAGAAGAACTGAAGGCGGTGTGCGGAGACGAAGGCGCACGAGTCTACTGTCAGGTCACCGTGCAGAAAGCACAGGTGGAGGTCAGTCACATCTGTTTCATTTACTGTTAGACAGACAGACAGTAACAAAAAAGCCACATGTTAAGACAAGTGAATACACTCATACTACAGTTTTCAAACTATTAGAGAGTCACCCTCATATAATTAATACAGGTGCAGTCCAAAAAGAGGGTGTGTGCACAGTGTAATCAGGTCAGATGTATTTAGGCAGGATTACTAAACAATGTAAAAACTCCCCACATGGATAATAACATTATAACAAAGAGTTATGGAGGATATGTTAAAAAATAAGGCAATTACGCTAAAGCAGATGAATCAGTAGTTATGTTCACTGATAACTTAAATCTCTGATCTTAAACTACAGAATAAACCTGTGATATTATTCATGAAATGTATAATAATTAATACAAATAATTTGCTTTGGCCATATGCTGTTTTATGCAGGGAGGATCTTAAGCAAACAGAAAGAGGTCGTCACTGAACATAAGCTATTCACACAGGACAAAAAGAGTAAACCAAGGTGCATCTATGAAGGGGGAAAAAAGTGATGAGATATTTTGTAGTGTTCAGTCAAAGATTATTCAAAATCTTGACCTACATAAGAAGTCTGACCCAAAAATATAAATGCTCCTCACTCGCTCTCTTAACTCCTGGTTTCCTCTTCACCTTTAAGATCATCTTAGTTCCCTGACAGTTGACAGGATCATTTACTGTGTATTTTCACATGCTCTGATAAAATATGCTGTTAAACATTTAACATTTGTGTGTAAACACATTTATTGACCACAGAGAAATTATGAATAAGTATTTTGTTTAATGATCCATGTGCTTAGATAAGAAAAGTAGCCGTTGTTTTAACTGTCACTGAAAGGTCCTAAACTTATTTTCTTTCTAATAACTTGAACAGAATTTTGAAAGAGAAAACAAAGAAATCATAAATAAAGTTGAATATTCCTGTGTTTACAGAAGACCAGCGGAGACTCAGAGCTACAGGAGATCATGAGACGGAGGCAGGAGAGGATTGACTCCGGCAGCACAGACTGAACCAGCATGACCCATGCAGACGCTTTTCTTCCCTCACTGCTTTCTAACTGCAGCAGCTTCTTAAATTGATCTACAGATAGATAGATACTGAAGTGTTGTATACATTTTTAATTGTATATTTATTTTGTATCAACCAATGTGTATGCATTCAAGTGTTTTCTTATCTAATTATGTTGCTTTTGTTTTCATTGTCTCAGAACATGGATCTATGTACAGTTTTGTGTGTGTGAGTGTGTATGCGAGCTTGAGTGTGTGTGTGCGCGCGACAACAGGCATGTAACATACATATTTGTACGAGCAGTGTTTGAAGTTTTATGCTCATTGTCAATATTGCAGCTGAATGACTTGTTAAATAAGTAGATCTTAGCTATATCATATCTAAATCTGTGCCAGAATGGATGACACATTTTCTGATATATAGCCAATTGTTTTCACATGACTTGTTTACAGGTATAATAAATAATAAAACACGCTCTATGTTAGATCAGCAAATGGTATTAATATAGACTACTGTTGCTGTTTATGATCAGAATTCAGACATTCTGGCACCACAGAGAAACTGTCAATAATCCTGCATGAACTTATTCTCAATAATAGTGAGATGCTGTTATTAATGTGTTCTTATGCAGCATGATATTTTGCAGTGTGAACTGCACATACAGGAATAATAAGGAATATGATGAGATTATGTTGTTCTGATGTTCATAATTAAATGAAGATTTCGACAAAACGTTCCAGGGGGTTGTAAATATCATGGGACACTGTTTAAAAAGAATTTAAAAAATAAACTTGTTAATTATCTGATATCACATCTTTTTTTTGGTACACAATTCTTGTGTTTGTCTGTGGATTAATAATGCCAGAGGTAGAGAAAACAGTCAATACAGTTCCTTTATTGTAAGACGTAGAGTTGCAAGTAAAGAAGTTTGACAGAAAGAAGAAAATTTAATTAAGTGGAGAACATTTTCATCCTCAGTTAAACAGGAAAACAGGATGTGTAATTTGTCTGTTTTATTGTTCAAACTGTATCACATTGTAAATAAAGAAAAAAACATCACCTTAAATAACTCACAAATCAATTTTCACAATTGTATTGATAACACCATACCACTGATGATCAAGATACTGTAAGGCAATTTAGAGAAAAATCCTGTGAGCACTAAAAATACTGCACAGAATCTGAAAAGACTATAAACTATAACACCAACGATAAGAAAAGATCATTCCCACACTATCAACTGGATTATAAAACCAAACTGATACAATCAATGTATGATGCAGAAGAGAAGAAAAACATCACTCCTTTTAGGTACAGGGTAGAGAATACAATTGGTCATTTATGGAGATATGCATCAAGCCAGAGGTCCCCTGAGTTTTTCAGTGACCTGAAAAAGAAAATGAAAGAAAATGCACAAAAAAAAAATCAGTTAATGAGGGAAAACCTCCATCACTCTTCTTTGATCTGCAAGTAATTTACATTTGTGAAACTCCTGAGAAAATCTATCACCTCATTCTGTCTTCATTATCTGTCATTTGCACAAATTTAATATCTTTGATTAGAAAATCTGTACAAACACACACACACACACACACACACACACACACCCCACACATATCCTGGCAGTAAATAATATAATAATATACTCCTATTACTGGACCTACCTGATAACATCAACAAGGCCTTGCCACATCGTCTTCACCTGGTAAGGAATCCCATGTTTCTCACACAGTGCATGGACCAGCGGCGCCACCAGGTGGTAGTTGTGGCGCGGCATTGTAGGAAACAAACTAGAAACAAAAGTAACAGAAGGTAGACATTAGCATCCAACATCTCTCAACAATCGTGTTTTAGGTTACAGGAACCAGCATCAACAGCTTGAGCTACAGTAGCTTGTCTGTTGGATCAGACCACTCGGGCCAGCCTTCACTCCCCACGTGCATCAATGAGCCTTGGTCGCCCATGACCCTGTATTTGACCCATTTTTTCCCCTTCTTTGGACCACTTTTAATAGATACTGACCACTGCAGACCAGGAACACTCCACAAAAACTGCAGGTTTGGAGATACTCTGATCCAGTCATCTAGACGTCACAATTTGGCCTTTGTCAAATTCGCTCAAATCCTCACGCTGCCTATTTTTCCTGCTTCTAACACATCAACTTTGAGGACAAAATGTTCACTTGCTGCCTAATATATCCCACCCACTGACAGGAGCCACAATAACCAGATAATCAGTGTTATTCACTTTACCAGTTAGTGGTCATAATGTTATGGCTGATCAGTGTATATTGTTTTAGTTAATAGAGCTTTGTAGTTATCAAATGCACTCCTCACGGTCCAGAAATAAACTATTTTGTCATTCAGCTTTTTTTTTACACATCAAAAATATTCTGTATCTTTCCCGATGAAGCACGTCACCTGAGTTTCACAATCTGCTCCACATTCCCTCACCCTCTCTCTCTTTCTCATCCTCAGCACTCTGCATTGTTCTCTGTCTCCAGCCCCTGCTCTCTTCTCCCAGGCCACATACTTTCCTTCAGCTACCCAGACCTGAAGCTGTCTGCCAGATAACCTGCCTGCCCCGACCCATCTACACACCTGTTCCCACTTCTCCCATCAGCCCTGCAGTCACCTGCTCTACTCTGCCCACTCCTCACCTGCAGCTGATCCCCTTACCATTCACTTACAGTTTTGGTTAACTTCCATTGTTCTCCATTGTTGTGATTTTTTACATGCCATGTTTCATGCTTTTGCTTTCTAGCCTTTGTAACCTGTCTGTACCTTGTTTCTTGGAACCCCATTATCTGTTTCTAGATTTATATTTAGTCTCTTATAATAATAATAATAATAATAATAATAATAATAATAATAATAAATTAGCAACATTAATTCTGTTGATATCTAATGTGAGAATAAATACTTGAGATTAGAAACCAAGTTTTGAGGTAGGTTTAAGGCTGTTAAAATTACCTTATTTATTCATTTATTGTCATATTCACTATATTCTACATCAGCTTGTTCCAACTCTTCTATGAAACGATACTGTACTGTATTTTATACTTTATGATGTTTGCATTGAGTAAAATATTCAAATAATTAGATTTTTTTTTTTTTTTTAAATTCAGAAAAGGATCTCAACTGGAATTTAAAATCAAATGTTTGGCTGTGCAGTTTTAATGTGTAAAGGCTGGCCGCTGCTTCTTAAAGGGTTAAATTACTTTTAATCTGATAACTAGGTTTTCTGGAAAGAGAAAAATTGCTCCTGCAATAATCTGACTTGATAGTGATTACTTTTAGCTTTCAGAGATGTTTGATGGACCCTCGCATGCTTTTGTATCTGATTTTCCTTCAAACTTTGAACTACTAAACACACCTTCTCCTGAGTCCACTACTGAGTCTCACTCACTGACTTACTGGTGTTCGATTTGAAAGTTGAGGTGTCCGCTGAACCAGTCGTTGAAAGAGGACTTCTCAATATTACAGGTGGCTTGTAACTAAAGTAGAGGATGAGACAAAAGACGAGTTAATAATCAGCAACTACAGGTGAAAGCCTGAACACCCAGTCAGGGTGTTTCATAATAAACCAGGTACCTGCATGGTCAGCCAGTCATGGTGCTTCTCGTGGTCGATGTCCATCGGCAGATGATTCATCTGAGTCACCCACACAAACCAGTGACTCTCCAAAAACCTGTCAATCATAACAATAGAACAGTGAATAATGGGTTACACCGTGAGATACAGGTGTAAAAATGTGGTATCACTTCCCGATAAGACATACTTTATAACAGGTTTGTAAGTTGAACCTAGTGAGTTTATTTAAAGGTCTAGTGTATAACATTTAGGAAGATCTATCTGGAATACAATATTCATAGGTATGTTTTCATTAGTGTATAATCACCTGAATATAAGAAGAAGGTTTGGGGAAGCGTGTTTTAAGAAATGTGCGTACAAGTTGGACCCTTTTAAATTTAGAATTCACCTTTAAGAAAAGTGCTGCAGAGCATCCAGGTCAAAAACCATTCATTAATCATTTAAAAAGAACATTTACAACTCTCCAGAATCCATTAGTTACAACTAGTGGTGGGACTCGATTAAAAAAATGTATATAATTAATTAGCTTTGTAATTAATTAATATCAATTAATCGCATATCAATATTTGACACGAGAAGCAACATTTTTCAATTTAAATAGATTTTGGTATATGACTGAATCAATGAATAGACACATAAATGAGCTTAAACCACAAAATCGTGTTTATTTTCATCACTGAGTGTTAACATAAAGTGCAATATGAATAAAGAATATAATGAATGCAGACGACGCTATCTGTAGCACCGCTTCTAGCCCCTCATCTTCTACCACCGACAGCGGCCGACAGTCCACTGCAATCCACTTCGCCAGTGCGTTTGTTAATTTGTCAGTCGTGGATTTACAGATTTTGGCTCTGAACTCTGTCATCTTGTCGAGTGTGGATTGGCGACACTGCCTGCTCCAACTAGGAGCGTTGTCTGTGCTAGCTGCAACATGTTTGGCATTGAGGTGGTACATAGATATATACTGAGTATATACAGATATACTCAGTATATAGATATACATACTCCGTCTATATATATCTATGGAGGTGGTAGCGGAGGCTGGAAGTGCTCCGGTGACAGGAAAATTCTTTCTTGCACAATCTGCACACAACTGTGCGTTTATCCAGGTTTCCACCCGGTAGTTTTTTAAAACTAAAATTTCCGCCCACCGAACCGAGCAACGACTTCTCATCGGTTTCCATTTCTCGTGTTGTGTCCTGTGCATCAGTATTACGGGTTTGCCGGGAACTCGTGCAACGAGCACCGTTCCGCGCTGTTTGAAGTGCAAAAATAAATTGCAATTTTTTTTAGTCGCGTTATTTTTTCTGTAATTAATTAATCGTAATTAACGCGATAAAGTGCCAGCCCTAGTTACAACATAGAAACACCAAATAAAGTATCTCTTATAAGGAAGTCTTACCAAATATTTTGAGTTAATATTCTTTCAGGTGATTTACCTGACGAAACTGATGAGCGCCAACGAGCCAAACAGGCCATACAAGGGTACATAACAGCACAGGTAGCGAAGGTAGTAAGACATAGACCAAGCCAGATCCTTCACAAGACAAGAGGGTTAATATGATTCATATAATATCTCTGTTATCAAGAATCCTGACTCTCTGAAAGTCATCTCTTATCTTTACTTATGCCACATTTTCACTGTAATGTTTGTATTATTTTAGGTCTGTAAGCTGAAACAATATTAGAACTATTACCCTACATGTAATGTGACATATCAAATAAAAAAAATCTAAAAATAAATGGAACTGTACCACACAGAAGACAGGATCTTACCACCCAGTCACGGCGGGAAATCATGGTGCGTATAATCTGAATGTGGAAGTAAACTGGAATGAGCAGCGGTGGTCCAACTAAAAGAGAAAAAGGCAACAATTATTTCTGTAATGTTTTCACAGTTTCATTCTTTTTAAGTGACTTCAAGAAAACGTACCAAGAAGGAAGTACTGGTGTTGGTGATGATAGGGCATATATTTGATCTTCTTTATGCCATACTGTAACAGAGAGGAATACAGTTAGAATGAGCAGCTGGTAAGAAATTAAATAGTATATCATACTGGATGTTTAAGGGCTGTTTCATACATATCAGCTTTGTGCTACTTGCCTCTACTGGTTGAGTGGCTCCAACTACGAAGATGTGCAACATGTTGACATCTGGGTCCTTACTGAAGATGTTGGGTTTAGCGTGATGCTGGAAATGCCGATGATTCCACCAGTTGGCAGAGGCTCCCTTAAGAAAACAATATTTCTTAATATCTATGTAAAATTTTCAGAGAGGAAATAGGCCATCGAGAATACGAATTACCTTTAGATGACCGATGACAAACTTGTGCAACATGTGATTCCAGCTGGACTTCTTGAAGACAGACAGGTGGCCAAAGTCGTGCTGCAGCCATCCGGCCTGCGACTACAGAAGAAGCATTTTGGTGATTTGTTTGCAGCAGAATTTGACTTATAGTTCGTCAAGAGATAATGATGCTCCGGTCACCTGAGCAGTTGCCAGCATGATCGAGCACAAAAATGTCAGAGTCCAGCTGGTTCCCCAGAGCCAGATGATGAGCCAGGCGAGGGCCTCCAACAGCAGGATGTGACCCAGGTGGAGGCAGAAGAACAAAGGCTGAGCTTTAAACAGACCCTCGCTCTCTGCCTGCGCACGTAAAGTGTAGAAATCCTGTATAATTGCTGCCTGAGAGCAGAAAGGCAGAAATAGAAACATCCTGTAAAGCTGAAAAGATGATGCATGATGTGACATTTGCCAGTTTTGGGGGGGTGTAAGAAACATGGATGATCTAATAGCTTTTAAGGATGTGCAGCAGCAGAGTTTGTGTTACAGAAAAGAACACGAGTTTGACTTATTTAACAGCTAATGAAACACGAGTGTCCAGAATCTCAGATGTGCTTGAACACTGTAAGACTCATGAATAACAAAACAGATCTGTTAATGATTTGACCCCGCTCCTTCTCCTCAGGTGTTTCTGGACATGGCATTCATCCCGTTGACTTACACTTAAGCTGCTACGTAATGTGAAGTTTTATTTGAAGAATCTGAGACAGATCTCACATTTTTGTTTCGGTCCTGGCTGGGCTCTGTTGCTGCCAGCTCTCCAATCAGCAGGGGCTTCAGAAACTTTTGCACAAACTTTAAATTGGGATGAAAAGCAGTGAAGGCCTCCTGGAACGCAGAAATGACAATGCCTGTCAGTGATGCAGTCAATAAAAAGCTATGTACATGTATCAGTGGAGGAAGAAGCACAAAAAATCAAAATACAGTCCTGCATTCAACATGTATCATGTCCTGAATATATTGTATGAAAAACATCCTTCGCAAGCTGTTATCCTTAGATATATGATAGGATGGAGAGGGACTCATATTAATATGAAGGCAGATTGGGAAAGGCTTTGAGAAGTCGTCAGATGATAAATAGGACAAGAAATAAGCCTTTTCTCTAATATTTGAATTTTTTTTTTAAATATTGGATAATTTGTCCTCTTTGGTGGAACTTGTGACAACTTCTGAAATGTGACTAAGGTCACCGACCTTAGTTTAAGATTAAATCAGCAGACTCCTTGAGTCACAAGCTAAAAATGTTGATTTAAAAAGTGTTCTGGATTTTTTTATCTGATCTGTAGATGCCTGACAAAAATGTAATGAAGTACAATATATTCTTCTGAAATGTGGAGCAGAAGCATCAAGTGGCAGGTAATATAGGGAATATTCAAGAACCTCAAAATCATATTTAGATTCAGATGTGAGTTAGTCATATTAGACCATTGACATTTATGAACACCAAAACAACAAAAGCTACTTATGTTGTCAGGAAATGTGTTAATAATATATTTATTTTCAAGAATATAATAACTTAAAACCCATATTACCGTGGCATCCTCTCCAGCATAGTGGCTGATGACACGGTGCCCTCCTGGGTGCCCTTTGGCCCAATGGGTGATGTCATAAACCTTTCGATCAATGACCAGCCACTGGTCATTCCTGTTGCAGTGGCTCTGCACCTCCTCCCAGGTGTAAACACCTCCAGCTCGCCTGCTGCCCGACTCTCCTGGCTCCGTCAGTTGGCCTCCACCTCCCATCCTCACTGCTGTCTCTGGCCTGGATCCACCTGAAGCCTACACTAAAAAGATCCAGCCAGCCACAAGTTTGACACCTGGATGTGGAAAAGGTCTGTTAACACCCCTCTGACAGTCTGCAGCCGCAGATTGTGCAGAGGGAGCAGCATTCAGAGGAGGAGGGTTTTAACCTGTTGCTCTCTTTACTGTAAACACCCAACTGATTGTAACACAAGTGAAGTAAGACAAAGAGCAGAGCAACATCTTCACTAATAATTGATGATGAAATCCGACAACCAGGAGGCTGTTTGCTGAAACAGGGCGGATTTTCACATATAGAGTTGGCATCATTTGTCTGTATCGATATTAAGCACGACTGTAGCCTAAATGCACATCCCCAGACAATTAAATCATCTATATTTAGCCTGTCAGTGCGTAAGAGACAATTCATTTCTATAGCAGCGCGTGTAAGCAGTCGCAGTCCATCATAATGTGAAAAATAGGACACGCAGCAGACATGTCAGACCACAAAGAGTCTATCGAATAACGTTTATCGCCTGTGAATCGATTAATTCAACACCAATCGCACATAATAACGGAGTGGCAGGCTGTCCAGCCTACAGGCCCGCTACATGAAGAGGAAGAAATATTTCAGACTTACAAATATTCAGATTTTGGCTACTCTCCTCGGGGTTCAGACACATTAACACACCGGCTCACTTTATGCGCTCCCGTTCCGTTCACATCCATTTTAAACCGTAAACATCCCCAAATTCATCCTCTGTCCTCCTCAATATGTTCACGGACTCATTCACCCACTCATTCAGTACAAATTCCGAGCCGATCATTCGAGGGTTTCTGGGCCAATCGGCGTACAGTATATCCTAGACCGCTGGCTGATGTGCAATAGGCTCAATAAACAGCTCATCTGAATATTACAGAGTCGTCTGTGCGCTCAGACGGAAACAGTCTGCGGGAGCGCGTCGCTTTTTACAGTTTCCTCCATTATACAAAGTCCGAAGAGAAATACTGTGACCCAGCAACACCACAGTGTGAAAAAGAAAGTGAAAGCCCTGCATTCAAAATCTTATGTAGGCTTGGCATCACGATACCAAAAGTGAGTAAGTACTCATTGGACAGTTTCATAAAAATAGATATTATAGCCTATCACTGGATTATAATGAGTGCATTGATGTCACTTCAATGGTGCAGCTGGTAAAGGTTTAATTTATAATAATACATCAATTATTAATGTATAAGGTAAAATATGTGCAGTGGACCAGAGCATAAAGAAAGTAGCAAAAAATGCAGGGGGAAAAAATGTACTTCAGTAAACGTACTTAGTTACATTACACACATACAATGTTACTGGGCATTATCATTGTGGCCTACAATATTCAATATGGCCGTAGTTGTAGTTCACTTTATATTCTCTTAATTTTATTCTTGTTATTTTAACTACTTATGGCTCTTTTCTTGCATTGACGTTTATTACCTACCTCATCATGATTAATGCTACTTGGTTTCCACAACATCTATCTATCTATCTATCTATCTATCAGGAACTAGGGCAGCATACTCAAACTGTTTTTCCCAGGGGCCACCTTTGCCAAAGGTTTAGGTTTGTTGGTGTAATCTTCTCTTGTTCAATACCTGATATTAGCAGCCTGGCATACAGCAGTAGTTACAGTTATATAAACAGTGGTTTAGGATTAGTATGAGGTGGCAAAATAAAGGTAAATCCATCCGTCCATTTTTCATTGTCAACGTTTGCTGTCCTCACTCATAGTGAACATTTACTAACTGGTAAGTTAAGTGCTTGATTATACACTAATGAAAACATAGCTATGAATATTATATTCCATTAGTGCCAACAGATTCTCCTTAATGTTACACATCCACCTTGAAGGCAGGCCAGCTCACCGCTATCCAGGTTCAGCAGTACCTGTTTAATGAAGTTAAAATGCACTATGGGCACTCCAGGTGCAGTTCATAAATTAGGCCAGACCCGAGGCACATTGCCTGAGGGGGGGTTAATCCACGCTAATATGTTCCCTGCTTTTGATGGGTTCAGGTGAGGAGGAGCCAGGTCTTGGGCCACCGCTTCCTGAAGGCTGGGGACTCCAACAGGAATTTTTTTTAAGGCATTCTCATCATCAATATTCAAACAGAGTGTGAGAGACTAGATAGAAAGACAGACTATAGGGAAGCATGATTTGTTTGTACAATCTGGAATCACTGAGTATTAATAGCATAAAAAAGTAAAATAAAATAACCCCACAATGACCAGAGGCCTCAGTGAGACAGGGAAGATGATTTCTGTTGGCATTGTAATCTGAAAGGTAGAGAAAAACAGAAAAATGTTCTAAATTAACTTGATGATAACTTCAGACCCCCCCAACAACAACAACAAAAACAACAAAATCAAATGTACCCACCTTCGTCTGTCGCAGTAAGAAGACAACAGGTGTTATCAATGATATTAATTAAGGTCCCGCTCCATTCAGGTCAAACAGAGTCAGGATGCTGCTATTGTGCATGTTGGCTCACTGGAAAGGCTCATCATTGATAACACCTGTGTTCACCCTATTATTTCATGTCAAAATGGCTGCTGTGATAAAGTTATTTTGTTATATCTCTTCTTAAAATGTTGTTTGGCTCCAGGTACCATAGTGATCAGTAAACACAGAGTCAGCATGGTCATCTGTTACCATCTCTTGAAATCATAAATGTTTTTAGTTTTCACAGCTGAAAATAATGAGAAAGTTTAGTATAAGATCTCATGATTAAAAACACAATACTCCTAACATTAGTTTATGAAAGTGGTCCTTCCACCAGCAGATGGCGCAGATGTGTTCCTTTAATCTGACACCTTCCTTGTCCTCATTTAACCCGGAGAATGCAACAGCAGATATCATTACAGTCTTGTGTTGCATCCAGAAATTCATCCAATAGTGTCATATAACACATATGTGATATTTCATAATTAATGATCTGCTTTTGGTACAAGATGAAAAACCAAAAGACCATTAATGTCCACAGCTGATGTTGTTTTCATTTGGTTTTGTTTGTCCATATGTTTCTGACACTGGTTGGGTCACACAGTGCTTCATCTGAATTCAACACGTTCACCTCAGCAGTCACATCTATTCACCGCCTGAGGTCTCTGTCTGTCTGTCTGTCTGTCTGTCTGTCTCTCTCTCTCTCTCTCTCTCTCTCTCTCTCTCTCTCTCTCTCTCTCTCTCTCTGCTGCTTACAGTCCATTGTGTCATTTTTCAGGGTCGTTTCAAATGCGATGCAGAAATTTGCAAATCAGCTCTTTTGGTCCTCAGCATATCAGACAGGATTATCCTCAAGCAGCGTGCAGCCTGTCTCCCTGTTTGTCCGCTTCTTCTGCCACAGCTCATCAGGCTGACAGAAGCGCTGCACATCTGACCCCAGCAGCTTTTCCAGGCCTTTCTTCAGTATCACAAGCCACAAAACAGGCCGTCAATCAGAAAACCTGTCTGCTATTGTCAGGTATTTAATAAAGTCAGAGGTGGAAGAGTGAGTAAGTATATTTAGGACAATTTTAAGGTATTGGTACGCCTACTTAAAGATATAATCTGTAACATTTCTGCATTCAAATGTCTATAAACATTACACCTATGTTATATATGGTGTTGAGTTGTGTACTTATATTATAGTATTTCCAGCAATGTTCAAACTCAGAGAAATCTGTAATTTCATTCAATGGCGTCCTATCCCCTTTTGTGCATGTATTAGCGTTGTGGTTGTTGGCTGTCATCAACTGACTTTTCATCCAGTTTTAAGCAACATTTTTATGATACACCTTTTAGATCTTGGTTGTTTTTAACTATATATTTTAATCGGCTGAAGGATTTTAGTCATCAGACGTCTGGAAGTTATCAGAGAAACAAGCTGAGCTAACATTAGCAGCAGCTCGGCTGGCAGGCCCTCCAGGACCTCCTGTGTCCCAGTTTTAAGGTGAAACCACTTTATTCAGAGTTTTTACCAGTTTTAATCACAGGTCAGTTTTTTTCGGAGAAGCGGAGACCTCTGCGGACAATTCGTCTGCTGTTAAAAACGTCCTGAAAGATGAACACTGAAGGAATCTTAACTCGGAGAAGCTGACTCCAATGATGGCAATGGTAGTGACAAGAACAACTCCCATGATCCCACACTACTTCACAACATCATCAAACTTTGTCTTTTGTTATTGTTTTGATGTGAGAGACCTCGTAGCAGCAGAAATTACATATTGTAGGTTTAACATTTAGGGAGATTTTCCTCTCTCACTTACTTTTTACTCCACTATTTAATAATTTACCTAATGAAACTTTTTGGTCACTTTTTAAATGATTAAACTACCCAATGTAGTTTCAGTCAAAGCATCACTTAGACCTGAAACTACAAAAACACATAAATAATTTTAGAAGAGATACTTATTGACTACTAAAAATAAAAGTACTGAAGCATAAAATGGAAATTACAAGGTAAAGTAGAGGACCTCAAAATTGGTCTTTGAGTAAATGCATTACTCTACTCTCAGTATGCAGTTGTAATGAATAAAAAGTATTTTACATCGTTGTTAGTATGAGAGGATGTGAACATTTCTCCACTGGATAAAGTTAGCTGGTGCTGTACTGCTGTTGTCCTTTTATTTAAAACTTGCTCTGGGCTCATCCAAGTTTTGGAGCTATTTTGAGCCACAGTGTATGCATGTATTTTAGTCGTGTCACATTCATTTCAATTTGAACTGCATTTTAGTGGGTTTTGTTATCTACCTATCTATCTATCTGAAAGCAAAACTTTTACTTGGCTATTAGCACTTGGTAAAACTTTAGCACCACATTTATCGGACTATTTGCAGATCAAGAATTAAACAATCATTAAAATGCTTCAATAAAACTATAAAAATATGTTAAAATACTCTTTATCCTACTAGTTAAAGCATCAATAATTCTTATATTGGTCTGACGTTGAGCACTGTTAGAAACAGTTATTTCTGTTATTTTTATGTCTGTTCTGTGTCAAAGCCGAACGTCACACAAAGGCTGTCGTCACAGCTTTTTAATTGGTCTATAAAACCCTGCTGAAGCTAATGTCTGTAGTGTTTGATACAAACCAGCACTGGAGTTACCATCTTTGGAGAGTCCAAGAGACTGTGTGAGGATTACTGGTCTTTTACAATGTAATATTTATGATTATGAATTTAGAGGATTGGAAGAAGAATTAAGATCCTTTACTGAAAAACAGCAGTACTACAATACAAAATACTCTGTTACTCTGTCCTGGATGTTACTTCAATATGTAATCAGTAAAATGCAGTAATATAGCTACACAGTATTATAATGACTCTTGTTAGTGTTATATGGATTATTTACTGGTGTTTTTCCTTTATTTTATAGTTGGTTGGGGTTGATTTTTTTCTGATTTTTAATGACACTAGACCATGGTTACATGGCATGTACAATAATGACACAACAATGACACACAGCAGGAATAAAGTGCAAAACATAAATGTTCTTAAGTAGTACTGTAACATATATCTGTAATAGAATCACCTTTAGCACTGTAGACAGCTTAAATATTACTTTTCCTTGTTACTCTGATTCCTCTCTGGTGACCTTTGCTAGAAGCTGTGATATTTTAAAAAATGATCTTATGATTTGTAAATTAAAACTAGGAAAGAAGCACAATATGTTCCTCTGAGACAGGAGTGCCCAAACTTTTTCCCTTGGTGCCAAAACTGAAACCTACAGGTGTATCATTAAGATGCAAAATGTGTCAACTGTCAGTCTGCCTGCTGTGCTCAGAATATGAAACATGATTCAGATTTAGGGATCCTACATATTGTAGAATATTTTTAATATACTGGAAACACCTGGTGGCCAAGTTAAACCTTATGGTTCACAATGGTTCACCTATGCACAAATTCTTTGCACAAACTACACCTTGCAAATTGCACATGTTTTAATTATACACTGTTTAATATTTTGCATACAATTCTACTGCTTACTGCATATAATGTACATATTTTTCCTTACAGTCTTATATTTTCTATTATATCTTTATAATAGTTTAATTGTATTATTCTTTATTGTACTTTTACACTTATGCTGCTGTGTCTGACTTGAATTTCTCCCGCAGTGATCAATAAAGGAACATCTTATCTTGTTAGCCCCACTTTGGGCAGCCCTGCTCTGAGATAATGATAATAATAATGAGGAGTAAAAGTACCATAACATGGAAATATTCAGGCAAAGTAAAAGTAGACCATACCTCAAAATTAAATACAGTATTTGAGTATTTGTACTTACTTACTTTCCATCGGTGTTATTATATATATTTTTATATTAGTGCAAACATCACAGCACATGAAATGGTCAATTCTTTGTTTTAAAACACGTGTCGGAAAAAAACGCCAGAGATAGGAGAGAGAGAGGTTTGGGGTTGTTTTTGGTAGACTACTTTTAACACACACACACACACACACACACAGCCACTGACCATGTGATGTGAATGCCCTCTGTTCCGGTTACAGCGGGAGGGAGGAGGGAGGCAGCAGTTCAATGTAAACCTTCACACTGATGGAGAGAAAGCGGACAACATCAGGAGTCACTCAGTCAGTCCGCGCTGCAATTTCTCAAAATGTTATATTTCTTACCCCAGAGCGGATTATAACTCCGGGAGAGCTCGGCCTCTAATGCGGAGCAGCTGCATTAACTAGTGGACAGACTTCCATTAACTCGCTTTTTCTTTGCCGGCGGCCAGGTCACCGAGCTGCGCGCACTGTGCGCTTATCCACCGACTCCCGGCAGGAAGAGGGCCAGCAAACTGACTATTTAGTGCCTTAGTGCCACTTTTTTTTCCCTTGTTCTGATAGAGAGACCTGATCACGTGAGCAGGTGACCTCGAAGCTGTTGTCTGTCTCTTAAAAAGCCTCGAGGAAGTTAAAGAGGAGAGGAAACGGTAAGGACTGCAAGATTTAAATTTCAGCAAAAAAATTCAGCTCTACTTTGTTGAGCTCATCAACCAGCAGCACTATTACTATTATTATTACTACTACTATTACTATTACTACTACTATCATTACTATTACTCTACAGTTTGTTAGATATTTTCTGCTGGTGTTTTCTGATCAAGCGGTAGATGAAGGGACGAACAGACACCTGACAGACTGCTGTGGTATGGCTGCAAGAGCGTTAATTGGCTGGGACCATGATGCTTCTTGCAGCCGGTGGGTTCAACCACGAATCAGCTCCCAGAAAGAGGGTTAACTTGTCACAGAAACTACCTCGTCAAATGACTCTGTCCTGACTCATATAGGAGTCAGGGGCTGCAGGCCACGACATGGGCAACTCCTCTAGGAAGGGAGATGCAGAAGGAGAGGAAGAAGAAGGGGGGATGGATGGCGAGGAGGCAGAAATGACCAAAAAGAAGAAAGAAGAGGAAGAGGTGGAGGACGAGCTTCCACTTGGGGTGGAGGAGTTATTTGAGAGTGGCGACCCCGTGCTGGACTTGAGCTACCGTAAGTTTAAGCGGTTACCTTCACGTGTTTGTGGACTGATGCATCTGGAGAAGCTGTACGTTTGCGGGAACAGCCTGCGCACTCTGCCGGACAGCATCTCCCAGTTGCAAGGCCTGCGGATACTCGCCCTCGACTTCAACAAGATGGAAGACGTCCCTCCGGCCGTCTGCCAGCTCATTAACCTCACTCGCCTCTACCTGGGAAGCAACCGGCTGATGACCCTCCCGCCTGACCTGAGGAACCTGCAGAGTCTGCGCTGCCTTTGGATGGAAAGCAACTACTTCCAGAGTTTCCCACGGGAGCTCTACGACCTGCCCAACCTCAAGTCCCTTCAGATTGGGGACAACCGGCTGAAGACGCTGCCCGCTGACCTCTGGCGTATGGAGGCTTTGAGGGGATTATGGCTTTACGGGAACCGCTTTGATACCTTCCCTAAAGTCCTGCTGCGCATGGAGAACTTGGAGATACTTGACCTGGACCGCAACAAGATATCAGAGTTTCCCAGCCTGAAGCGACTCCGAGCCCTGCGCCTTTTCTCTTACGATCACAACCCAGTGGAGTCCCCTCCCAAAGTGGGCGAGGAGGTGCTCGTGGTTGGGGAAGGTGCTCTAGAGTTCTTGGAGGCGCGTGAGGCCAGGAACGAGAGGCGACGAAAGGCCGCAGAGAAAGAGGCCGAAGAGTTGGCTCTGGCAGGGGAGGAGCCGGTGATTCACGGCATCCTGAAGAACAGCAGCTCCAACTCAAAACAAGCAGCGAACGAATCTTCTGTGACTTTAGGGGACGTGGACTTCAAAGAGGAAGAGGCAAAAGAGGAGGAGGATGCGGAGCTGCCAGTCACTGAGTATGACAGAGATGAGCTTGAATATGACGAGGAGGGGGTTGAATATGAGACGGAGGAGCTGATATGTGAGGGAGAGGGGTTCGAGTATGAGGGAGAGGAGCTGGAGTATGAGAGGGCACAGATGGACTATGAGTACGAGGAGCTGGAGGACACGGGGAGACAAGATGAAGGTGCATGAAAAACCCCTCATACATCCAGACTCAGATGATCTGCAGGCAGGTAGAGGAGGTGGGCGACAGAGGGGTGGGACATTCTTAGCTGTGCTGCTAATTCCTAATCTATTGTTAACTGTGAAAATAAACGAGCATTGAGGCATTATGATGAACTTTAAACTGACAGCACATGTGATATCTAAATCAGCTGCAAATAACCACATTAGAGCAGGACTCAGGTGGAGAGCGTGTGTGTGTGTGTGTGTGTGTGTGTGTGTGTGTGTGGCTATTTTCTGAGTGTACACAGGAGACCAAGTCTTCCATTATTAAATATTTAACTCAGCTGATGAAGTCAGTGTCAATCATTTATGGAAAAATATGTCTTAATTGGGAACCAGTGAGAGCAGCAGCTAATGTTTACATGACTGACACACTGTAGTATTTCCACACATCATGGCCAGTGTCTGTTTTATGTGCCTGCCAGTGCACCTCAGCTCGCCTCATTGCTATTTTTATAAACCAAGACCGTGTGCGCATGTAAATGTGTGTATTGGATCTAGATTTACAAAATATTTATGACACGCTAAACACAACCCCCCAGCCCTTGTCAGTGTTGTGTAAGCAGTCCTGTGAGTGTCAGTGCCAAGAAAGAGAGGGAGACAAGGAAGATTATTAGAGGGATGAATAGCTGGGGTGCCTCACCATAAAAGGTAAGTCCATAGGGGGGCTCCAAACATGAAATAGACTCACTAAAAAGTCAAGCAGGAGATTTTTTTTTTTTTTTAAAAACCCTGAAGTCCCCTGCAGGTCTGAGACTCAGGTCCGTCATGACCTCTGTACTCCCTTTTGTCTGTGACTACACCTTTTCTACCTCTGTCTCTCGCATGAAGCCGCCCAGCCCTTGTTCTCCTCTCATCTCTGCACTCATTATTCATGTGGGGCTCGTATGTAATCCAATCCTTTTTCCCTCCACGTATCTTTTTCTCACATCTCATTGAAAGAGTGAAATATTTATCCCCAATGCTGAAATATTTATGCTCGTGCTCGTGTGGTAGCGCGTCTCAACTGCTGTGTCTGTGCTGAACAGAACAGACTCAAACTGATAATTGCTTTTCTTCAATATCTAAATGTTACATGCATGAATCCGACTTTTTACATATATAACCATGGATTTTACCTTTGTTTTATGTCTAGGGCTGCCAGTCTGCCACTAATTATTTTTTATAGAGTATTAACCTGTTGATTATTTGCTCAGTTAAATCATTGGTTGATCTGTATAAAATCCGTCACAGTTTCCTAAAGCGCGAGTTGGTGTCTTCAGGGTGCTTGTTTTGTTCAACCAACAGTCTAAAACCCAAAAATATTCAGTTTTCAATCATACAAAACAAAAACTCTTAAGCAAATCTCCACATTTGATCAGCACCGTTTAGGTTTTTTTTCAAAATGGCTGCTTTTTCAGTTAATGTTGCTGCAAATGATTATTCTGACAGATGTTATATCTCGTGCCCAAGGTGATGTCTTCAAATGTAAAAAAAAAAAAGCAAAACAGCTGCCCTTATTATTTTCTATGTATAACCCCCACAACCGCTCCGCGTTACTTCATGCCACTGTTCTATTTCCAGTGTTACTGCGCATTAAATGATAAATTATAGTAAACAGACATTACCTGGCGAGTTATAGCCCTGGAAATTTGCTCTTCAGGTGAGTTTAAATAGTGGTGTCCACACATGATTTTAAATTAATGCCGTAGACATTTTATATTGTGTGATCAATCAAAGTTTGAAAAAAGTTAACATTTGGCCTTCACAGATGAAAAAGTTCAGGTTACATCCTACTAAATGAGAAGACTATGCCATCTGCTGTTATAAATGTGTACCAGCATTGGGCTGTAATAGCAAATTAGTCACCAATGCAGAATCTGTTGCTGCCACAAACCCGACCAGCTCTGGGAGATTGACGCGACACAGTGGCGCCAGCGTGTTTTCACCTTTAGAGTAATGTTTCTAACCATCTTAATTAGCTCTAAACACAAAGTACAGCTGAAGCTGATGGAATTTCATTAGCAGGTATTTAGTCATAAAATAAAGTCTTGGACAAAATAAAATGTTTGACTTTGTAGGATCACCAAAGTTACTCATCCTGAGGGGACATGAATGTGTGAACCAAACTTCATGGCAGTTCATCAAATAGTTGTTGAGACATAGCAGTTAAAACTAAATGCCAGTCTGCTGGTGGCGCGAGAGGAAAAGTCAGAGGATCAGAATGACCCAGGGACCATAAATCTATCCAGTTCAGTTGTTGAGGTTGAGCAAGTATTGGCTGAAACGAGTATCCGGTACAGATTGTTCTGTAAATAGTTATCTTACTATTGTGATCAACGCTGCTGTTAAGTTCAATTCTGCAAAATGTTTTCTTATAAATACAACAACTTCTGATCCACCCTTAGCCCCACCAACTTCAGGTTTAAACCCCGCCCACTTTAAGTACGTAATATAGATCATTTAGTTGATTGAACAGATACAGATAATTGTGTTCTCATCCTTAGGTGAGATACTTAAAAAAAGTGTTGGACTGACAGACCAACAATTCCATCCCCTAGAGCTGCTAGCAGGTCTAGAATTTCCATAAAGCAAATTATTTTGGTGTTATTTCACTGTCAGGGAGTTATATAGGCAGCTAATTAAACATGATCTACTATCTATACTTAGCTGACACTGACAATTCTTTGCAGACACTCTGTGTGGTTTTATATATCTCTTGTTTTGACACAGCGATCTTGTGTTTATTTGACTCCTGCTGATAATGTAAAACCACTGCAGTTCCTGAGAGTTGGCCCACTGTAGGTGTATGGAGCTGCAGTATATGACACATGCGTCTGGAAACTCAACCCTCCTCCTCTGCTCGCTTCACAGCGGTGGGTGGCAAAACAGTTTGACACACCACAGACGTCGATGGGAATCGGTGCCATACTTAGTCTGAGTGTAATTATTTTGCTCATTAGTTTACACTCCTCTCATTCTCTGTAGGTCAGTGACAGGGAGGCGGTCAAAGACAATGCATCATCTCCTTCACTCCCTCTTTGGCTTTCACACGACTCACTTCACACAACTGTCTGACTGGCAGCCTTTTCAACTCACACAAAAGAGACTTCCCAAAGAGATGAGAATTAGCCGTTTTTTGACAGGACTATTGTAGAACAAGACAGATGGGGGGAGTGATTAAGGTTCTCAGGATTTGATTATAAGGAAATGTAATACAGCAACAGTTCTTACTCACACATCCACTCTGTTCATTTATGAAAATACTACTGAAACTTACAGACTAAAGTAAAAACCCAGAGTAATGTGTAAACATACACATTTTATTTTTATGGATGTCATGCAGGTACCATCACAGTGTGTTAAGGCCTAGCCCCGAAAGATAAACCTGTGAAAGAGAAAAAGGGTCATGTGAGTCAAAGGAACCACATGCATGTTGGGACTTAATGGGTGGAGCTTGTTTGTTTGTGTACCTGTCCATATTTCAACGATTGTCGATTTTCCACAGATTCTTGGTACGTGGCCAGATTTCAACTTTTCTTAATCAGAACGATGACAGAACCTGGAAAATAACGTTTTATTTTTATATAAATGTATATTTGTCAACTAAACAGATGTGTTTCATCCCAGATAGTTAATCTTGTTATCTGAAAGCATTGAACACACTTACGTGCTATTATAATGTGTAGTGAAGTGTGAGCAATCAAAGGGTGAATTAGGGAAAGCCTGGTGGCTTGGAGCATTTAGAAGAAACCCTGACGGCTCCTAGAAAACACAAAAGACTAAAACAATACTCAACATATCAACAGATAAAACACAGAGGTAATATTTTATAAAAGATAAAGATAAAAATATATAACCTTTTTTCCAATGGTCTTCACAATCAGTGCATTACTCTTAGTCTGAGGTGATGGCAGAAGGGAGGTCTAGAATAGCAGAGGAAAGGATGTTAAAGTGATATAATTGAAATCTACTACAGCTGACTGGGAGGGGGGGTCAATACTCACTGGCCAGGCCAAGGGAGCGATGGCACCTCGAGTGAATCCTGTTTCTCGAGAAGAAAGGCTGCACAGGCCCGGTCTCGCCTCAGTGCCCTCAAACACAAGCAGAGAGAGACACAGTTAAACCTTACAGACTGTGGAAAATAATATTACATCCTTTCAAAAGAGAGTTCAGAGTGAGAGAAGTTCTGTGGCTCAACCTGCAGAAATGACGGCGCCATGAAGTCACTTTTCATCACTGAGCTGTGAATCTGGCGAGGTTCAACCTGTGAAAGAGGAAAAATGTGAACGTAGACATTGCTCAGTGGAAAAGGAAGACCACACAAAAGAGATAAGTGCTGTACCTGCTGTGTGATTACGGATGGAAATATAGACTAGTGATAGTTACCATGCAGCCTTTTATGTCCTGAAATGTATTCAGTTGAAGGTCTGTTCCTTCAGTGAAACCACTTTCTTGTTTTGGACCCACAACCACATGGTGCTGGGAAACTAGAGGAAGTGCAACAGTGCAAATACTCCACATATTTATCTTACATTTTATTATGTTTTTGTCTTTCCTATAGCATCTATTCCTGCTTTACTTTAAATTCACATTAACGTGGGTCATCAGCAGGTGCAGACTTTATTTTACCTGTTGGTGTAAGACAATGCGGGACAAATGATCGCTGGTATTCTGTCTGAAAAGACAACAGGATATATAATGAGACATTTCTCAACATCCCCCAAGTGTTGTTATGTTTATGTATTGTTTAGTCCTAATTATTCCTCTGCAGTTACCATTTTTGAATGACTCCTCAGCTGATGGAAGCCACTCTCTCTGGGTTTGTTAATGATGTTTGGCAAAGACCCCGAACAATCAGACGGGATGTGAGGTTGGTAGTCTTGTTTAGCTTGAGACATAAAACTGTCTGATAACAGGAGTCTGCTGACGGAAACAACACACTCATGTTTGAGGTAAAAGGCTTTTTAAATTCTTTCAGGAACGTTGTTTACAAAAATACCAACACTGAATAACCTAAGCAATTGCTGACATTCAGACTGCAGGCAAAGTGGCCCAAATCAGTTTTTGTTTTTGCTCAAATGTGACTCATATGTTTTTTTTCAGTCATATCAGAATTTATGCGGCTTTTGCGTCACTTTAGATCAACATTCGTAATGCAGGTCACTTCAGGGCCTCGACCTGTTCATACTGGAATCTAATATGAGCAATGCCAAACAAAAAACTCAGAGCAAGGTCTGAGAAGTAAATCAGAATTAAGCACTAAGGCTTGCAA